GAGAGGAAGGGAGAGAGATAGAAACATCGATGAGAGAGAAACATTGATCAGCTGCCTCCTGCACACCCCCCACTGGGGATGTGACTGCAACCAAGGTACATGGTACATGACCTTGACCGGAATCAAACCTGGGACCTTTCAGTCCGCAGGCCGATGCTCTGTCCACTGAGCCAAACAGGTGCCAGCACCCTCCCCATTTAAAAAAATATATATTTTATTGATTTTTTTTTTTTTTTTTTTTTTTTTTTTTACAGAGAGAAAGGGAGTTAAAAACATCGATGAGAAACATCAATTATCTGTCTCCGGCACATCTCCCACAGGGGATGTGCCCACAACCAAGGTACATGCCCTTGACCGGAACCGAACCCAGGACCTTTCAGTCTGCAGGCCGATGCTCTATCCACTGAGCCAAACCAGTTAGGGCTCACCCTCACCATTGCCTCATGCTGGCTCCGGGTGGAAGGCCGCCTCTCTCAGGCGGGCAGACTCCAGCATTATTTTAGTATAAATTGCTTGCATTGATAATTATGTTGCAACATGCATCTGTGTGTTGCAAGAAACGTCAGGGGTCGTTTCATTTGACCTCCTAGGAGCTGCAGTGCTGTGTGACTGCGTGCCAGCCACTGCTCCTCTGAGCTTCAGTTTCTCCCATCTGTAAACAGAGCGATGGAGAATGCTCTATGGGGGCCGCGCAACGAAAGACACTGAGAAATTTTAGGACCCCAAACTGCTGGTGCTTTTGGATGCTACCTCTTCCCTCTGCCGGAGTCGCCACACCCTAAATAAAACTCCTAAATAAAACCACAGAAGTTGCCGACTAAGAATCTGCAAGGCTGATTTGCATGCGATTTGCACAGCATGTTTATCAGCGCCCAAGGAGGTCTACTCTTCACACGGCTGCGAGGCTGGCCCTGCCCAATGTCTCAGGCCAGGACTCCCTGTGCCCGCTTGACCCAGAGAAAGTGGCCCTCGCTCTGAGCCACCTCCGTGCCCAAGGGAGGGCAAAGAGGCTGGGCGCCAGGGACTGAAGTGGTTTAGGGACAAAGCCATCACTCATACATCCACCGAGGCACCTGGACTTCCTTCCTGGGTCCCCCTCGGCGAAGTCAAAGTGTTCGATTTCATCGTGGCTAGAATGCCACTTTCTAGGGGGTCATCTTGGTGCACCCAGGGCCCCATTCTCTCCTCGGGCTCCTTGGGCGAGGTGCAGGGAGAACTCAAGAGGGCAGAGACCAAAGGAAGGGAGTGATGGAGGAGGGAAGGGGGAAGGAAGGAGTGACGGTCAGGGGGCTCAGGTTCCCTCCTTCAACACCCCCTGAGGTCACTGGGCCAGCAGCGGGACTTTTGGGGCTCCCCCACAGCCTTGGGCCCCCCGCAGGGCACCGGACCGGAAGAGCCCAGCGCCCTCTCACCTTTTATTTGCGTCTCATACTCGGCCTGCAGCCCCCGCTCCCGGCGCAGCTTCCCGTGCGCGGCCATGGCAGCCGGGCAGCGGCGCCGTCGAGGCCTGCAGCTACTACACAGGGTTCCTGGGGCTCCGCAAGCGGCACCCCGCACCAGCCCCGCCCCGCCCCGCCCCCAGCGCGGCCCGGGGGCGGGGCGACCCAGGCCTGGCAATGCCCTGGAAGGATGCCTGTGGGGGTCCCACTGAGCTGGGGCCCTGCCTCCCCTCCCGCTGGGCACTAGGCCCCACCTGGGCTGCCTGGTGCCCAGAGCTCTCCTGCCAAGCAGCCAGGGCCAGTGTGAGAGCCCCAAAGTGCCCAGCAAGCTGGCACCTTCTGGCTGCTGACCTGCCCACCTCTAGAAGGCTGCCTGGCCACCCCTGCCACACGGGACCCTTCACAGCACGGCCACTGGCTCTCAGGATATCAGATGGAGCCCACCCCTTGCAAGCCACAGCCCTGAGGGATGAGTGCAAAGAGCCTGGAGAACCGGGTGGAACATTCCCAGGGTGGGCTGGGAAGGAAGGTCAGCACCAGAGACTAGAACCTCAGCCTTGCCGAGACTGGTTCGGCTCAGTGGATAGAGCGTCGGCCTGTGGACTGAAAGGTCCCGGGTTCGATTGCGGTCAGGGGCATGTACCTTAGTTGTGGGCACATCCCCTGTGGGGGGGGGGTGCAGTGGGCAGCTGATCAATTTTTCTCTCTCATCGACGTTTCTAACTCTCTCTCCCTCTCCCTTCCTGTCTGTAAAAAATCAATAAAAAATATATTAAAAAAAAAAGAAAAGAACCTCAGCCTTTGTTCCCTCCAGCCCCCCTCTGAGGGGGACAGCAGCGCTCAGCTAAGGTTCCCCTTTTGCTCCACCCCGTAGGGAGGAACAAGCCTTGTTTCCCCATAGGTGGTTACCACTTCCTGCTGCCGGAAGAGACTGTCTCTTTTCCCCTGCAGCTTGCACCTGTCCTGTCCTAGGCCTGGGGGTGGGGGTACAGCCTTCCCCCCTGCCCCTCAGAGCAAGCCTGGGGGCCCCCCTGTCATCCAGGCATAGTTTCCCTGCACCCCTCTCTGCCAACTCAGAGCCACAGGGCGACAGCTTTCCTCCAGGAAACTGGGAAGGCAGGAGCAGGTGGCAGGTGACAAGCCAGACTATACCAGTCTTCAGTTGGGTGGGAGGGAAATCCCGGGGGTATAGATGGTGGGAGAGGAGAGAGGATTGTGCTCAGGGAGGCTGGTCTGTAGGCTGGTGCGAGGGATCCAGGCCTTTGTGTGCAGGGATATCAAAGTCAGGCTCTGTACACGTGTAAGCACATGTGACCTAGACCTGCAGCTCTTGGGAGGGCGGGCAGAGGTGCAGGTACTTCCTGCCTTTCAACTATAAGCAATTCTCCCCCCCCCCCTGCCGGAGGGGGAAAACATACCTCCTCAGCTTGCTGCCCTCCCCCAAGTAGCAAGGGCCTTCTCTAGGATGCTACGTGTCCATGGGGCTTGGGGCTGAGAGGCCTGGGAGCTGGCCAGTTCCCAGCAGGCCCGGGACCTGGGCCTCCAGCAGCTGGTCTCAGCTGTACTAACTGCTGGAATCCTTCAGCAAGACAGATGAGGGAGCCTCAGTCCTTTTCTGACGCCAGAAATGCTAACACGTGGTCCCATCCAGCCACTGCTTTAAAACCTCAAGTAATTAGCCCTGGCTTTTAGGACACTTGTTTGCCATTTAAGGCCTTTACTGGCCTCTGTTCCATTGTTCCCACAGAATTCAAAATCCCATTATCCCGCATTAGGCAAGGCCCAGATCTGCCGGGCCTTGCTCAACCTGTTAATGAGCGGAGTGCACACTTGGTCCTGAGGGGCGACCACAGGGCAGACGTGATCAGATCTGCTGCACGGCTGACAGACCAGAGGGGGAGAGGAGATAAAAGGGGAGGCTGTTACGAGCAGTCCACATCAGAACAATAACTGGGCCGTGCGGCCCCTCCTATTCCTCTACAGATCAGCCCTGCAGAAGTTTAACAATGAGGTGCTGCAATGTTATGCGCCTTAGTATATAGGTTGGCGGGGGGGGGGGGAGCCACACGGCGAGAGGATAAGGGAGCCAGCTTTCCCTCCATCAGCCTTAAAGCCACAGCTCAATTCATTGGAATGGAAGCGGCCCCGCCCAGAGGAAGGTGCTGCAGAGGCGGGGGAAGTGCTGGGCCCCAAGGGCCATTCGGGCCTGCGGCTTCCCCTCCTTCCCCTTCCCTCCCGCCCGCAGTTCCCACCTCCGCCCAGGAAACTCAACCGCCTGGGGGCGGCCGAGTGTCAAAGGCCCGCCAGGGAACCGGGCGCCGAGGGCAAAGGGTGTGTGATAGGTCCCTGTGGGCTGGGCGGAGGGAGGAAGGCGGGCGCCGCCTTGCGCCACCGGCTTCCTCCCACCAGCGTTGGGGCGCGGCCTCTGCAGCGCCGGCGGACGCCGGCCTCCGGTCGGACCAGTCAGAACCTGGGAACGAAGCCCGCGGCTCGCGAACCGGAAGGGACTGACGCCAGACGTGGAGGGCGGAGCGAGTAACGGAGCCAATCAGAACAAAGCGCCGCCCGAGCCGGCGAGCAAGCGGCTGCGCGCAGACGCAACCCCGCCCCCTAGCTCCACCCCCCCTCCGCTGCCTGTCGACCACGTGCCAGGCGCCAGCCAATGAGAACCGAGCTCCAGGCCAACGACGAAAAATTCAGCCGGGCGGGAGGAATAGCGTGCCATCTGCAGTAGCAGGGACATAAGGTACTGACAGCTCAGGAGTGCTGAGCTTCCCTGGGAGGTGGGCAGCCCAGACAGCCTGCCCTGCGTCTAGGAGCAGCAAGGGATGGCGCTGCAGCCAGAAGAAAGGGCACAGGAACAAACCTGGGGATTATAGGGAAGCTGTGCAATGACATTATGCATTTGTCAAAAAGCCATAGAGGGAAATGTAACCCCTGGACTATAGTTAATTATCAATATCCGCTCATCAATTGTAACAAATGCAACACCATACTAAATGTTAATAGGGAAAACGGGATAGATGGGGTGTGTGGAAACCACACACTGCTCAGTTCTGTAAACCTAAAACTACTAAAAATAAAGCCTATTAATTATTTTCAAATTAAGGCTTAGGTTAGGAAGTAGATTCAAGGGGCATTATGGTGGTCAAACACACAGAACCCACTGACCTTTTGGATGCAGGAGATGGAGGAATTAAAAACAGTTGCCAGAACTTCAACTGGGTAGCTGCTTGGGCCATTATCCAGATAGGACATCAGTGGATAAGCCCAATGAGCATTTGGACTGAGGCATCTAAAGCCCAGCAAGGCAGTGAAAAGCAGGGCTCAGAAGGCAGAACAGCTGTCCCCAAGGCTCCCATAACACCAGAGTCTCCCTCCCTAGACCCCAAAGATGCTGAAAGCCATCAGACTTAGGAGCTCCACCTCCAAACCCACACGAAGCTTCTCGGGCTTTCCAGGATGCGCTGTGCCAAAGGCTCTTGAGGTCCAGCCCCGCAGGGACACAGAGGGGCCTGAGAGAGGCAACCCCCCACAAACGCGCACACTCGCACACACAAACCCCCCCCGGGTGAAGTTTATTGTGAAACCTCGGGTGAGGGTGGCAGGGGCAGGCCCGGGCAGAGCTGGAGGCTCTAGGAAGCGGAGTCGGAGGCCTCTGAGCTGTCCTTGACGTCGGTGCTCTCTGTGGTCTCGCTGACCTCGCTGAGGTCCTTGCTGTCACCACCGCTGTCCTCGGCAGCCAGGCCCTTCTCCTCTCGACCGGGCTCTCCCGAGCTGGGCACTGAGCTGCCCTTGCCCTCCGCCTTGTTCTCGATGGCGCCCAGCACTGTGTGCCTGCCCTTCTCCTTCAGCTCCAGGTGCCGCCTCAGCTGCCACCAGGGGCCCAGGGAGAAGCAGGAGGAAGATGACAGGGCCTAAGTCTCCAGACCATGTGGGCCCTCTCTGGCTGCCCAAGGGAGCCTGTGCCTGTCACTTGCTGGGGGCAGAGGGTCAAATGAGAGGCAGCAGGGCCAGGGTAGGGAACACAGGACTGTATTGCGTTGAATCCTGGCCTCTGCTCTCTCTGGGGCTGTCTCCCTTCCTAGAAAGGAAGAATGCTCATGCCTCCCTCATTTCAGCCGCTGTTTTTGTCTTACCCCTGAGCCTGGGGCCTCCCTCCCTTGCCTCTCACATCACGCCTCAGAGTGGCACAAGCCACTGAGAATGGAATCTTGGGGCCTCCTTCAGAGCCCTGACAAGGCCCAGCTCCCCACCTGACAGCTGGGGAAACTGAGGTGACGAGCGCCATGACTCCCAGCAACGTAGCTACAATGGCTAGCGCCTGATCCGTCTTGTCTCTAGCCCATCGCAGGCCTCCTACTGTCTCAGGGCCCCTGGGAGCTTCACCTTCCCTCCAGCGGGGACTCCCCTACTTACCTTGCTCTCCTTTATCTGTGGGGACTGTGGCCCTGCCCCCCTAGACTTACCTCCTCGGCCATCTGGGTGAGATCCCGCTTCATGGCGTAAGCATCTTCCCCATCCGCATAGTATTTGGGTTCCACTTCACTGATCCTGTGGGCAGGCAGGGGTTAGAGAGAAGGACAACCGAGAATCAGGGGTCAAATTCTCCTCAGCCTTCTGGCGTCATAGGCCAGTGGAGCAAGATGTCATTTCCACCCAAAGGACCCTTTGGTAGACAAGCCCCATTTCCAACGCAGCCTTCCCTCTGCTCTGTCAAGCGCCTTTATCCCTCTCCCCACTCCCCGGGTCCCGCCATGGTCCTGCCTATCCTAACCTGGCTACCAAGATCTTTTTTTTTTTTTCTTAATATATTTTTATTGATTTTTTACAGAGGGGAAGGAAGAGGGATAGAGAGTAAGAAACACCAATCAGAGAGAAACATCGATCAGCTGCCTCCTGCACACCCCCTACTGGGGATGTGCCCACAACCAAGGTACATGTCCTTGACGGGAATCGAACCCGGGACCCTTCAGTCCACAGGCCGACGCTCTATCCACTGAGCCAAACTGGTTATGGCGTTCTGTGGTTTCTTGCGAGCTGAAGCCCTGAATTTGGCCATCCTCTTCCCTCCCTGCTCTGCTCCCTGTCACTTACTGAGAACGCACTGTCGGTCCCTATGCCTAGCAATTGGAACGGAGAGGAGGGGCTGAGCTTTCACTGGAGGTGTGCCCGCAGGCTTGGGCATCTGCCACTGAAACGGGGTCTGGACTCAATGGCCCAGAAAGTGCCTGCCATACCTAAGCCCCTGGAATGGTTGATCAGAGGTGTCAGCATCTGGGTCAAAGATTGCTCCTCAGATTGTATCACTGTGGGGAGGACAGGAGGCCCACACAGGTGCACCTCTGCCCTTCACATCTGTCACATCCACCCAGGCCCTGACGCCCCCACGCAGAATTGTGCGTGCCTCCCTTCACAGCCTCACCTGGGAACTCTAGACAGCGTGTTCCATAGGTGGCCACCAGACACGTGGCCCCCTGAGACATGCTGCCAGTGTAAAACACACCAGAATCTAAAGACTTAGCCCAAAAAAAAAAAAAAAAAAAAAAAAAAAGAGGATGTATGCCCGGCCGGTGTGGCTCAGTGGTTCAGCATCAAACCATGAACCAGGAGGTCAAGGTTCGATTTCCGGTCAGTGCACATGTCCGGGTTGCAGGCTCCATCCCCAGTAGGGGGCGTGCAGGAGGCAGCCGATCCATGATTCTCTCTCCTCATTGATATTTCTCCCCCCCCCTCTGTCTCTCTGCTTTCCTCTCTGAAATCAATAAAAATATATTTAAGAAGAGGATGTAAAGTAACTCAATAATTTCTTATATTGCTTAACTGTTCAAATGAGAAGAATATGGATTTATTGGGCTAACAGTGATAAAAAAAAAAAAAAAAAAAAAAAAAAAAAGATTGTTCCTCAAATGCCCTTCACAACATTCCCTTCTCATCCCCCACCAAACTGAGGCCGAGTCCTGTCTCAGGGGGCTCCTCCATGGACAACCCACCCAGCTTCACTTTCAAGTAGCTTCTGCCATCATGTATTGGGAGCATCAGTTCTCTGCCAGGCTCTCTCTGCCCTGTGCCGGGCACACAGAGACTCCAATGCGCCTGATGGACCCACCCTCGTCCGCCAGGCTGCCCAGGGCTCCAGATCAGCGGCCACCAACCTTTCCGACCTCAGGGAGCACCAGTGGTCCGCAGACCACCGATTGGCGCAGTCCCTCTGCTCCCCATGCTGACAGCGCATCCTACCTGGATGTGCTTAAGCTTCTGTGGCAGCAACATTCTCCTTCCTTCTGGTCCCACTTTAGGTGCCTGGCCACTTTGAGTTCTATTCCTTGGCTTCTGCTATATCCTGAGCCCTCATATATACTCCCAAGAAGCCCATGTGTTCTTCACCACGCTGCCCATCATCTGCTCTCAGCCACCATCAAGCAATCCTTCCTCCACCCAGCAAGACACATCACACATCCTCCTGCATCACCCAATCCCTGAGCAGATGGCAGCAGGCAAGTGCCATCACCGTTGAGAATGGAGGAGGCACCCTGGCAATGAGTGTGGAGTCCAGGACCCGCTCCCCCTCTCAGCTGCCCCTGCCCCCAGCCCGGAAGGCAGCTCAGTCCATCTCAACAATCTGGATGAGCCAGCCAGACCTGGGACTACCCCCACGCCATTAGAAAAATCTAGATGTACTTACTGGAAGTTGAGGGTGTTGGAATAGAGGTGCAGGGCCGCCCGGTTACTGCAGGAGAATAAGGCACTGCTGAGCTGTGCAGACTCGGCCAGGCAGGGACAGCACATCCAGGTTCTGCCCCTTTTCCTAGTGCCCCCTCCCCACTGATCCCACTTCCCAGATCTTCTCCAAAAGCCAGGGTACCCCACGACCCACATCAACAGTGTCTTTTCCCCACTCCTCCCTTCCCTCTTCCCCGGCTTCCACCTCTTCCTGACGTGCAGGGAGACATATTTGGCATTGAAGTTCTCGATCATGGCTCGGGAGGCCTGGTCCATCAGCTTCTGAGCCAGGCCAAGGCGCCGGTGGGAACGCTTCACAGCCTGGAGGGAGAAGGGGAGGAGCTTGAGGGCTGCCCCAACTAACCCCTATATCCATCCCCATCAAAGCCTACGTGGGCCTTACGCACCAGTGAGGTGATATGTCCGTGAGGCACATCATCTGGGTCCTCTTCCCTGTATCAAGAAGAAAGGAGAGAGGTTAGCAAGGAGCCCTGTGAAGATGCAGCCATCCCCACCACCTGGCACATGCGCATGGCAGGAGCACGTGCCGGGAGGTGGCCCCAGATCTGGGGTGGCGGGAGAGCTGGAACTCTCAAACCCCTCACAGCAGCCAAAAGACATATATAGTGTCAATGGAGTACAATGGAATGTTGTTCAGTGATAAAAAGAAATGCACTAGCTGAAACCGGTTTGGCTCAATGGATAGAGCGTTGGCCTGCAGGCTGAAAGGTCCCAGGTTCGATTCTGGTCAAGGGTATGTACCTTGGTTGCAGGCACATCCCCAGTAGGGGGTGTGCAAGAGGCAGCTGATGGATGTTTCTCTCTCATCAATGTTTTTGACTCTCTATCCCTCTCTCTTCCTCTCTGTAAAAAATCAATAAAATATATTTTTTTTTAAAGAAAGAAATGCGCTAGCAAGCCATGAAAAGACACGAGGGAACCTTAAATGCACACTGCTAAGTGAGAGAAGCCAATCTAAAAAGGCTACCTCATTTCGGATTGCAGCTAAATGACATTCTGGAAAAAGGCAAATCAAAACTATAATGAGATACTACCTCACACCTGTTAGAGTGGCTATTCTCAACAAGACAAGCAGTAACAAGTGTGGGAGAGGTTGTAGAAAAATGGGAACCGTCATTCACCGTTAGTGGGAAGGTAGACTGGTATCACCACTATGGAAAGCAATCTGGCAATTCCTCAGAAATTTAAGAATAGGGGACCCTTTTCCTCTCCCCATGTGGGAGTCTGTACTTGTTCTTCAATAAATCTCCACCTTTGCTATAAATAAAAATTAAGAAAAGAACTACCATATGACTCAGCAATCCCACTCCTGGGTATATACCCGAAAAACTCTGGCCCTAACCCTAACCCGGCCAGCGTGGCTCAGTGGTTGAGCATGGACCTATAAACCAGGAGGTCACAGTTCGATTCCGGTCAAGGCACAAACCCAGGTTGCAGGCTCCAGCCCCAGTAGGGGGCGTGCAAGAGGCAGCCAATCAATGATTCTCTCTCATCACTGATGTTTCTATCTCCCTCTCCCTTCCTCTCTGGAATCAATAAAAATACATTGAAACATTTGAACTGAAAGTTGAACTTTAAAAAGTATATAAATTAATTTTAAAGCACAACCAAGGCAGCACCCACCAGACACGTGCAGTGCTGGTGCCCCCACCCCGTGGCAGATCCATGCCCCATCCCCCAGCTCCCACACCAGGCTTCTCTCCCTCCTTGGAAACTCACATTTTGGCCAGGACATACCCCACAATCTTCCCATTCTCATCCTCAGCGATGTAAGAGAGCTGGGTGACAGGGAGGAGAAAGAAGTCAGAAAACAACTTCCTGTCAGAGGTGAGGAGCCCTTAGCAGCCACCTGGTGCCACGGCCCGCTGTGCGCTGTGCGCATGACAAGCAGTAGTCCCTCCAGTGGTGAGTTCAGTAATAGCTCCTGACCTCCAGGCCAAGTGAGTGCCTTGGTTTCCCCATACCACACTGTGTCCTGTCACAGGCAGGGAGGACACACACAGGTGGAAATCCTGTCCCTCCTTTGGCCCAGGCCTTAAGCTCCCCACCTCAGCTGAGAGCACCCACTCCCTCCCACACGGACGCCTGGTGTCCCCAGTCCCCACATCCGGCTGCCCACCTGGGGCCAGGAGAGGCCATGGTAGAAGTAGTACTTCATTTGGTAGTTCTCTGGCAGGCACAGCAGGTTGCAGTGCTGCATGTTCATCAGGTCCTCTGGCTGCGGGAGGAGGGCACGGGAATGCGGTCAGGCCAGGGGCTGCGGTGACTAAGCAGGCCTGGGTCCTGTCAAAGCCCGATCGCTGTCTGTCTATTCACCGACACACACACGCACCCGACCGCTGACCCCCGCAGGGCTGGGCGGGCCAGTCTGTACACATGTCCGGCTCACAGCCACTGTGCAAAAATCCTCTGTTCCTGGAATGATCGTGGGTGAAAGGGGAGCTCCCAGACACCATCCAACGGAGCCCCGACATCCCGCAAAGACGGGATTTGCAGCCCTGAGCCCCGCTCCGGGTAGATCCGACCCCCACTCGGTGTAGGTCCAGCCCCACGGGCGCGATGGCCTTCCCCAGCCCCGCACAGGGCGGTCGGCCCTGGACTCTAGGCCCCTCGAGAGCATGCGCACGCGGCCACCCAGCCCGCACCCACGCGACACAGTCTTCCGCCCCGGACCCTCACCCGTGCATTGCGGATGTTCATGACGGCGACGAGGATGGCGGCTCCCAGCGGATCGTGAAGGCGCAGTCAGCTGCTGCTGGCCGGACCCGGGCTGGGGCTGGGGCTGGGGCTGGGGCTGGAGCAGGGGCCAGGCTGGGGCTCGCGGGGAAGGCGGCGGAAGGGGCGGGGCGGACCGGGCGGACCACGGGCCGGAAGTGCTGCCGCTGCACCCGCCCTCGTGACCGCTCGGCCAATACGCGAGGCGGACAGGGGGCGGGGGCGGGACTTTGGGTGGGCGGGGCGGGGTACGCAGATACTCTGGGCAGTGGGGACTGTGGGCTGGTGGGTCACTGTCGGGGTGAGCAGGTGTCCTCCGGCCATCGCGGCTGCTGCCCCTCCCTCGACCCCACAGACACACACACACACACACTCGCGGGAGTGGAACAGGCTCAGCTTTATTTTGCGGCTCCGAGGGACGGGTGGGAGGGTGCGAACCCGGCCCCTGGAAAGGGATCAGGGCCTCAGCGGCTCAGCAGAGCGTCCAGCATCTCTTCGCACATGGCTAGGCACCGCGGCACGTGGAAGCAGCCTGCGGGAAAGGCGAGATTGCAAGTTGGGAGGGCCGGAGTCAACCAAATCCCCAGAGTTCCAGACACCCCACCCCGTCTCCGGCTCACCTTTGAAAGGACCTCCTTTGATGGTGAGGGCAACCGTCCCATCTCGGTTTAGGTAGCCAAACCACTCCCCATGCTCAGGATCGCGAAACTGGAATAACAATGGCAGAGTGACAGCCAGGAGCTGTCCCTATGAGACAGGCCTGGGAAGGGCTTCTCACTGCCCCACTGCACCGCGACCAGGGTCAGAGCTCCGGTTCACCCCGGGTAACGTGGCTCCAGGATCAGTGCTCAGCGTAGTGGTCAAAGATAAAATGGAGGGGCTTCCTTCCCTTTTTCCCTTCCTGAGAGGGGGCGGGGAGGATGAAAGTCTGCAGTTGGATAACCCACTGAGGGAAAGGGCCACAGGCCGTTAGATGAAACACTGGGAGATGAACTCACAAGAACCCTGGCTTGGGATGACAGAAACGCCCTCTGTCTTGTTCAAACGCCATCTCTATCTCTTAAAGACATATTCCTTAACTGTAACTTCAGACAGTTTAAACTGGTGGCCTCTAGCACATGTTCTTTATGAATGCATTCAATATTAAGATATAGCCTTGCCTGCCAAAACCGGTTTGGCTCAGTGGATAGAGCGTCAACCTGCGGACTGAAGGGTTCCAGGTTCGATTCCCGTCAAGGGCATGTACCCTGGTTACGAGCATATCCCCAGTAGGGGGTGTGCAGGAGGCAGCTGGTCGATGACTCTCTCTCATCGATGTTTCTAACTCTTTCTCTCTCTCCCTTCCTCTCTGTAAAAAATCAATAAAATATATTTTTAAAAAAATATATATAGCCTTGCTGAAACCGGTTTGGCTTAGTGAATAGAGCGTCGGCCAGCAGACTGAAGGGCCCCGAGTTCGATTCCGGTCCAGGGCATGTACCTTGGTAACGGGCACATCCCCAGTAGGGGGAGTGCAGGAGGCAGCTGATTGATGATTCATCGATATTTCTAACTCTCTATCCTCTCTCTCTTCCTCTTTGTGGAAAATCAATTATATATATATATATATATATATATATATATATATATATATATACACACACACACACACACACACACACACACATACCGTATTTTTCGGACCATAAGACGCTCCAGACCATAAGACGCACCAGTTTTTAGAGAAGGGAAATGAAGAAAAAAAGATTCTAAAACAAATAGTGTCCTAAAATATTTTATGTGCATTAAAACCCAACATCACAGTCATAAACACATGTAATCAACCCTGTAAAGTAAACAGCAGCATTTAGAACCATTTTAGAGCCGGGCAAGCACACAGAGACCACACAGAGCCGGGCAAGTAAAAGAACTTTTTTTTTAAAGTATATGTATAGGCTATATTTGGACCATAAGATGCAGGGACTTTTCCCCCCCACTTCTGGGGGGAAAAAAAGTACGTCTTATGGTCCGAAAAATATGGTGTGTGTGTGTGTGTGTGTGTGTGTATATATATATATATATATATATATATATATATATATTTTTTTTTTTTTTTTTTTTTTTTTTTTTTTTTTTTTAAGATATACCTTGCCCTAGCCAGTGTACCTCAGTTGGTTGGGTGTTATACCTTGCATGGAAGGGGTGCCAATTCAATTCCCAGTCAGGAAGCATGCCAGGGTTACAGGCTCCATCACAGTAGGGGCTGTGCAGGAGGCAGCAAATTGAAGTTTTGCTTACACATTGATGTTTCTCTCCCTCTGTCTTTAAAAAATCAATAAAAAATTTAAAAAAAAATTTTAAATATAGTTTATTGATTTTTTTTCAGAGAGGAAGGGGAAGGGATAGTTAGAAACATCAGTGAGATATGCTCGTAACCAAGGTACATGCCCTTGACCAGAATCGAACCTGGGACCTTTCAATCTACAGGCCGACGCTCTATCCACTGAGCCAAACCGGTTTCGGCAATAAAAAACATTTTTTAAAGACACAGCCTCGAGTCTCATGAGCCCCTGGTTTGGAAAAAGTGATGAGCTTGTGCTATACTTGAGATGCCTCTCTAAGTACAGTATAACATGAACGTATAAAAATACGGTATCGTATTTTTTGGACCATAAGACGCACTTTTTTCCCCCCAGAAGTGGGGGGGAAAAGTCCCTGCGTCTTATGGTCCAAATATAGCCTACACATATACTTTAAAAAAAAAAGTTTTTTACTTGCCCGGCTCTGTGTGGTCTCTGTGTGCTTGCCCGGCTCTAAAATGGTTCTAAATGCTGCTGTTTACTTTACAGGGTTGATTACATGTGTTTATGACTGTGATGTTGGGTTTTAATGCACATAAAATATTTTAGGACACTATTTGTTTCACAATCTTTTTTTCTTCATTTCCCTTCTCTAAAAACTGGTGCGTCTTATGGTCCGGAGCGTCTTATGGTCCGAAAAATACGGTATGTGGGGTTTCTATTGGTGACAAAGTCAGGCGCTGCTATTGTGGTTACTGCCTCCATTCATAATGGGAGTAAATGCTGGGTTTCAGTTAGTGCTTAGTAAAAATAACGATGGAATTTTCCCTTAGTTTTGAAGCCCACAAACCCCAGAATAAGACCCCCTGCTGATTCTTGTCTCCTTTGCTGGGCCCCCCTATTCCCTCCTCTCCTGTGCTTTTATTTATTTTTTATTTTTATTTTATTTTATTTTAAAATATATCTTATTGATTTTTTTACAGAGAGGAAGAGAGAGGGATAGAGAGTTAAGAAACATCGATTAGAGAGAACCATCCATCAGCTGCCTCCTGCACACCCCCTCCTGGGGATGTGCCCGCAACCAAGGTCCATGCCCTTGACCGGAATCGAACCTGGGACCCTTCAGTCCGCAGGCTGACGCTGAAACGTGAACTCCAGGGGAGCAGGGACTGCTTCGTTGACTAAACAGAGCGCACTGGGGGACCTCCAGGAATTCTCATATCAGCTTTGAGAGACCACATTCAATGAAGGAGAGAGTAGGGGGTCGGGGATGAGCCACCCTATCCCTCCCAGGGAAGAATGACTGCCCACTGTGTCTCCCACGCCCTTGCCAAGCCCATCGAGGACTGTGGACCGGGAAGCAGCACGTACCTTGCGGAAGGTGTACTCAGCCACCTGGTAGAAGAGGTGCAGTAAGGCAGGGTCCCCGCTGTCCCTGTAGCCCATGAGGAAGGCAATCATGGCTTCACTGTGCGGCCACCAGAGCTTCATGGCCCACTCCAGCTGAGAGCAGAGCAGAGGCAGCATCTGAGAGCCCTGCGTCCCACCACCCACCACCTGTCTCAGCAGGAATGTCACCCCATCGTTCCGGTCCTGGCTCAGACTCCCTCTGGCCCAAGCACTTGGAGCTTGGTCACAGGATGGACATCTCGAGGGTTGGAAAGACTCCTAAGAATAAGACTAGCTTGTTTTTTTTTTTAATTTTTTAAAAATATTTTATTGATTTTTTACAGAGAGGAAGAGAGAGGCATAGACAGCCAGAAACATCGATGAGAATTATCGATTAGCTGCCTCCTGCACACCCCCCACTGGGGATGTGCCCGCAACCAAGGTACATGCCCTTGACCAGAACCAAACCTGGGAGCCTTCAGTCCGTAGACTGATGCTCTATCTACTGAGCCACACCGGTTTCGGCAGAACTAGCTTCTTGAGCCAGTGCACCCCAAAGGCAGGGGTGAGTCAGGCTACTCTTTCACCTTGGAATTGAAACCATGTCTCTCTTGTCAGTCTGTCTAAATCCCCTCAGACACTCAGCCACCTTCTGGAGATCTCAACAAGATCAAGACACAGAGGAAACAGACTAGGGAGCAAATCTGTTCCCCCTGCTGACACCTTAAAATCACCTAGACAGCTCCTCCAGTGTGGCTCAGTGATTGAGCGTTGACCTATGAACCGGGAAGTCTTAGTCACATGCCCGGGTTGTGGGCCCCGATCTCCAGTGGGGGGTGTGCAGGAGGCAGCTGATCCCTGATTCTCTCTCATCATTGATGTTTCTATATCTCTCTCCCCCTCCTTCCTTTATGAAATCAATCCTATATAATAAAAGGCTAATATGCAAATCTACCAAATGGCAGAACAACTGGTTGCTATGATGCACACTGACCACCAGGGGGCAGATGCTCAATGCAGGAGCTGCCCCCTGGTGGTCAGTGCACTCCCACAGGGGAGCGCCACTCAGCCAGAAACTGGGGTCAGGGCTGGTGAGCCCCCTGGCAGTGGCAGGAGCCTCTCCCACCTCCTTGGCAGTGCTAAGGATGTCCGACTGACGGCTTAGACTAAGCCATCAGTCAGACATCCCCCTGAGGACTTCCGGACTGCGAGAGGGTACAGGCTGGGCTGAGGGACCGCCCCCCACCTCATGAGTGCATGAATTTCGTGCACTGGGCCTCTAGTACAAATATCTTTTTAAAAATTGAAAACTTTTGCCGGGACCGGTTTGGCTCAGTGGATAGAGCGTCGGCTTGGGGACTGAAGGGCCCCGGGTTCGATTCCGGTCAAGGGCATGTACCTTGGTTGCGGACATATCCCCAGTAAGGGGTGTGCAAGAGGCAGCTGATCGATGACTCTTTCT